TTGAAGGGCCGGGGGGTGGGTGGGTGGGTGAGTGAATGGTGATAGTCGTGGGCCGGGTTTACGGCCTGATGGATGGATGGATGGACGCCCCGGCGCTTTTGAATGCGTGTGCACTGCTGCTGATGGCTTCTTTCTCGGTGTGCGTGTGCGTGTGACGGTTATCGCTCCTCAGCTGCGGCATACATAGCGCCTGTGCCTCCCCTCCTTCATTCATTCGTCCATATTTGTGCCCTCTTTCAACCAAACCCACACCACACCACACCACACCAGACAGGCAGTCTTGCCTAGGGGAGGGAGGGAGGGAGGGATGGAGGGCATCAGGGTCCCAGCACATGACTCGTTCTTTTCCCCTCAATGTATTGTCTGCATCCGCCCACCCACCCATCCACCCACCCACCCATTGGCCGGCGCATTTTTGACTGCCGTGCGCATCCCCTCACTCATAGTCTCCCACCCTACCCACCTCCGCGTGTCTATCTGTCTGTCTGTCTGTGTTGGTGTAGGTTTGTGCTATGTGTGTGTGTGTGTGTTGGTGGGTGTGGGTGTGGGTGTTGTCTGCCTGTTCGTGTACCATAGACAGATGGCTGCTAGGGCCCTCGCAAGAGACATCGGATCGGCGAGGGGAGGGCATTCTTTCTCTCGTTGACTCATTTGTGTGTGTGCGTGCGTGCGGGGGTGCTGCCGGCGTTTTTCCGCAGGCAGTAGGGCGGGCAGAATGATTGGACGAACCAACCAAGGGATATCTCTCCGTTCATGTGTGTGGGTGGGAGGGTGCGTGTGTGCATGGCCAGGGAGGGAGGGAGGGAGCGGGCGGCTTTTAAGAACACGCTCATCAATCCATCCGCGCAGCCAGGTGAATTCGCCAGCCTTCGAAGGCGTTCTTTCTTTCTGCATGGGTGCGTGCGTGTGTGTGTTGACCGACCACTGACTGCTCTCTTTTTGTGCCCTACACAGACAGGCACGCCGGGCAGCCAGCCGTACGCTGTACGCCACACGCATTCGCACCCACCCCAACACTACTGCTAACTAAGGCTTTCGGCACCGGTTGATTGAATGGAATGGATTGAGATTGAATTGGCCCCCCTCTCACTGTTCCTCCCTCCCTCCCTCTCTCTCTCTCCCTCCCTCCCTCCGTCCCTCCCTCTCTGAGTGTGTGAAAGAGTGAGTAGAGAGAGCATTTCATGAGAGGCGGGTCGGTCGACCTGCCTCGTGTATCATAGCTACCAACCAACCAACCAAGGAAGGAAAAGAGCAGACGTCTGGCTGGCTGGCTGACTGGCTGGCTGGCTGCCCGTCTCCTGTCGAAATCATTGGCAGGATGCGTGTGCGGCGGCCGGCCGGCGCATCCCAACAACCTTTGGCTAGAGCGGAGGGGAGGGAGGAGGGTCCGTGTCTGTCTGTCTGTCTGGCTGGGTGTCTGGTTGTCTGTCGTGCTGTGATGTGTTGCGTTGTGATATATTTCGTTCGAGGCGTAGATGTTTAGACGTCATGGGCTCGCATTTTTAAAGCGGGACGGGGCAGGGTAGAGCAGGCTCTCTGCCTGTCCCCAATTCACACGCAGACACCCACACGCATTCTTTCTTTCCTTCTTTCTTGCCCTCCTGTCTGAGTTTCTCTCGTCTGAGTGAGTGAGTGAGTGAGCACACCCATCTTTTCCTCCCGTCCATCCCCACAAGCAAGCCTTGGCCCCCCCCTCTCCTCCCCCGCAGTCAGACAGAGAGAGAGAGAAGCACTTTGGTGCGGCGCACGCCGGGGGCGTGTTTGTGGGTTTGCCGGTTGGTTGATCTGGCTTTCATCAAAATTGAAGTGAGGGCCAGAGCGATCGACCAATGGGTCGGTGGGTCTCACTTATCCACTGCCCATGGCCCGTCAATGCACACGCCGCCCTTTTTCTCTTGCCTGAGTGAGCGAGAGACGAAATGCATAGGGCCGATGGGAGAGGGGGGGCGGGGGGG